ACACCTTAGCACCCCCAATGTGAGGTACTTGGTCTAATGAAACACTTGTCCATCAATTCTTGCAATTGGACCTTGAGTTCTTGCAACTCCATAGGTGTCATTCTATGCGGAGTCATAGAAATAGGGGATGTACAGAGGTGTAGTTCAATTGTAAAGTATGCATCCCGATGTGGAGGTAATCCCTGTTGTTCATTTGGAAAAATATCCTCATATTTATAAACTACCCAAGTAGACCCAACTCTTGTCTCTCCTCGTCCTCTAGGGTAAAGCTTGCTAGTTAACCTATCAATTGTCCGTGCCATTGAGAGTCATACACGGCTTGGGATAAAGCATCGTGCTTTTTCCCCTAAAACTTGAAACAAACACCCTCTAATGTACAAGCAGTAACCCTCTTCCGATCACAATCAGTGACGACTCGGTGTGTCACCAACCAATCCATCCCGAGGATGACATCAAACTCTAACATGTCTATGACCCTAAGGTCTACGGTGAGTAGAATCTCCAAGATCTCTAGCTCATAACTCCCGACATATCTAATCAATGCATAACTTAACTCTTAAGGAAGAACTCACATGCAATGGTTCTTCTAAGGTCTCAACCTCTAAGCCCAAATTTCTTACACATGATGTAGAAATAAATGAATGTGATGCACCAGAGTCAAATAATACCCTTGCGCATAAGTGAGAGAGTAGAAATGTACCCTGAATTATCAACTGATCCACAAGCTCAATCTGAGATATGAAGGCATAGACTCGCCCCTAGGTCGCCAAAGTCCCGTCTTGTAAGCCCTATCCTCGGCCTCAGTCCATACCCTAGCCTATCTGGCCTGATTACAAAGTCCCTGCTCGTAAAGTAGTAGGGGTCTATGTAGAACCCTAGAACTGAAACTGATTTTCCTGGCCTATGGTGGGGTAGGGAGGAATGAAATAAGTCTGTGAATACTCCACTGATAACTAGGACTGAGATGCCCCATAGCTTTGGGATCCCTACTTCTGAGGACAATCCCGCTTCATGTGAACCAATTGGTGGCATATAAAACACATCTTCTGGCCTGCCTGATAGGAAGTCCTGAAGTTTTTCCCTCCTTGAGAGGATTGACCTTGATAACTGTGGCCCTATCCTTGATACCCTTTTGGGGTAAAAGTCTTTTACTTCTTCCCCGAACTAAAAGAAGATGATTAACCCTCATTCTTCTTATCCTTAGCACCCCGCCCTCCAAATGCCCCTTACGTCTTCTACCTCTTTCAATGGCCATAGCCATCTCGACCATTGAGTCCAAATCTTGTAGGCGATGACCCACAATCTTTCCCTAGATGGACAATTTTAAATCATCCTCAAACCTCTTTCACTCTCGCAATGGAAAATGATAGACTTATTTCCCACAAGGCCCATATAAGACCTATGACCTATGCTCTGATACAAAGATATGACACCTCTAAAATCAGGGGTCCTTTGTCAACCCAAAGATCCTATATAAATCCGCAAAAATACCAGTGAATGTCGCATAACCTGGCACCATGGCAATAACATCTCTTTCACTGGGATCATGAACAACACAGCGTTTTGGCAGAGTCTCCCTTGTACCAGGCACTCCCAAACGCATAACCTGTGTACATTTCTATCAAATGACCATTCCAAGGTCTAATATATATTATTTTATGTTTGGTTTTACTCCATTTACATCTTTTAAGCAAAAGGACTCAAGGCCTAAAGGCTTAACGGAAGATTCTAATTTTCTGAAAATTAAAGGGGACCCACCTATAGAAAAGTCATGTTCTACCGATAGAAAAACTCACTGGAAAACTTCTACCGATAAAAGATCAACGTTCCACCAGTAGAAGAGCTCATTGGAAAACTTCTACCGGTAGGAAATCAACGTTCTACTAGTAGATCACCCCAGTTTTCTCCCGTTTGATCCTTTTTCAATTCCAACTCTTCCAATATCATACAACAACAACTCAAACTCATTTAACATACAATTTTACACAAAACATAGTCTATACGAGTTTGTCTTACAATCCTTTACAGAATATTATATGTCGAAAACTAAATTACATAATTGTTTTACAAAAATGTAATTTAAAGCCACATCCCGACTTTTCTTTCTCAATGAGAGCCCATGTTAGAGCCATCTGCATGCGCTTTTCCCTCACATGAAATGTTGTCCCCACAAAAGGGTGAGCCACATTCAATAGGATATCTCCTGAAGAGGTTACTCCCTAACCTAGATGCATAAGAAATGATCACATGCAATTTAACAATTAACAACCAATGCATTTAAGAATATGCAATTCATAATGGAATTCTCTATGTCATGACATGTTATGAGAAGAGACTCACACATACAACTCAATCCGAGCCTTCACCGACCCCCATAACATATGCAATGTCATGCGTATGAATCCGAGCATTCTAAACCCCCACTATCGATGTTACACATCTAATGACCATTAAAATTCCTGGGTCTTTCTTGGGGTGGGTATTCATGGACTAACACAACCAGGCACCCAACTGATACGATATTTTATGGACTTTCACCAACGGCTCTATATACGCCGATACACTTTATGGACTCGAAACCAACGGTGTACGTATCCAAATCACTAGGTCTTGCACAAAAGAGATAGTCTAGCCCTTCTTGCTAACTTCAACCATATTTTCAATGGAACTCGTGTGATTCAGTCAAACCTTGATCCAACCTTCCCAAGCCCACACATCATCCACCAAGAATGATGTTTGATCAACCATGCACACACACACACACTCATACCATATGCCCACGAATATGATATACATGAGATTACATCTCATCAAACACCTTTAATGCATAATTATAAACATAAAACATGTCTCTTTCACCACATATCTCAAGAAATCACAAATAAGTAATTTCAACCCAATTCATGATAGAATTGATGTTAACCATTTTTAATACCTATTTTATACATTTCAACTACCATAGGTATATGCTATAGACGAGATTACACTTTTAACACCCTACCTATTTCCTATTTCAACCCTAGGTTACAAATAAACCTAATTAGGAAAGGAACCCTACCTCTTAAAGTGTGATACAAGTGATAGAAAATCTTCAAGACCCAAATCAAGGTTTAACCCTTGATTTTAAAAAATTCATTCTTTTGGATTTCGCGCAGAACAATCTTTGTTCTTGGGCCAAGGTGATTCGAAGAACGGAAAGCCGTAGATCATAGAGATAAATTGAAGAAACCCTTGATTTCCCCCCGCCCCCTTTTTTTTCCCTTTCCCACTCTTTTTCGAAAATCAGCTGGCCAAAATGGTGTCTCCCTTGTTTATATTCTTTGGATACTTGGCCCACGTTGCACCGCACATCTGCCTATCCCGAGTCAGATTTCGTCCCTAATTAATTAAATCTCGTCTCAGTTTAAAATCACTATATTTTTATTTGAACTAACTTTAAATTATTTTTCAATTTTTGCAATTTAATTTTCGGTCCCATTTATTTTGGTCATGCGACACCCAATTGACTTGTAAAATAAAAAAAAAATTGACTATCTTGGAATTCAACAAAAATTGACTAGATAACTAGATTTCGTAAGATGACTCCAATGGTGAGGTCCGTTTTGTCATCCGAACTCTAAAAAAGTTCAGGTTTTCAACCCGTATTGTAACACTAATTACTGTTTTGCCATTTTTCATAAAAATTTCAAAATTTCCCGAGTTTTACATGTGTTATGGTTGTTGTTGATTTCCTTACTTGGCACACACACGCACACTTGCAATTCCTCAATCACCATGTGTTTGATCTTATGCTTCAATGGTTAAATTTGCATATTGATCACATTGTGGCTTCTTGATTCTGTGTAAGGGCTTTGAGGGATAAGGATCGTGCATTTTCATTGAGTTGTGATTGATTGTTGAATTTGGCGTACTCACATCCATGCATTCACTCAAAAGGTTGTGCATTTGAAGGTGTTAATTGAACTAAAATTGGTTGAACAACTTGTAAATAAGGTAATTTGGTTTAGCTGGACTAATATTTCGCAACGGGTGCGAAAGGCCTATGCACCCCCATGTTATATTAAGCCCAACTTCATGTGTGTAATCTTGTCGGGGAACAATCCAGACTCTCAAATTTTTAACTGTTGCTTTGTTATAGAGCATTGGTTGAAAATATAAAATGTTAGATCATACTTAGTTAAGTGATGTTTAATTCTTGGCCCCCATAGAAATATGACGGTCTCCATTCCTCTCACGTTCTAACACAACTCCCTCTCTCCCTCATCTCTTTCGGTTTCATGTCTCTCGCTTTGCCATCCTCTTTTTCTCTACAATCTCTTGCACCAAATCACACTTTTGGGAAAGGGGCTACAAAGCAAACTTCAATATGGTTTATTATTTTTCGCTGATTAGCTGAATCTGTTATGACATATTTCACTTAATAAAGATTTGAATGAACTATTATCCGGTCAGAATTATGTATATGATAAAGTTGAGTTGATATGTGTAACAAGTTAAAATTCAGCTCAATTAACTTACGCAAATTGGATTAAATTTATGAACTTATCAGTTTCAAATATAAGTCGTGAAAATAAAATTAGTTAGGCCTATCAAATGTTGATTCGTTTAGGATCAAATGAAATTCAATCCAAATCTAATAGGTAACTATATATACAAAGATATTAACAGGGTTTCATTGAAATTATTTACCTTTATGCATCATTTTGCTTTGGCACCTGATCCCAATTATTATTTCTAAGCTATCTCGATGGAAGAATAAAGCAGTTGAAAACTTGAAATGTCATCGTATTGTTTACAGCGGTTTTAATGATGTTGCAAAGAAATGATTGTTTGCAAAGACATATATTTTTTGTTGTAAATAGGTAACTTTTATTACAAATTTGCTTGTCACTTTGTTGCCACTAAAAAGTGAGAAATTTCCGACAAATTTCATCCATCATAAATGGAAAAAAAATATCCAAGATTACTCCAAACTATCCAAGATTTCACCTTTTAACTTTATTTATCTCAAAGTCCAATTACTTTCTTATTCGGACATTCTCTTGGGGTCAATGAAAAGATGCAGGGCTGGATGCCATGAACATAAAACAAAAAGATATTAACCTTTACATTTAAATAAGAAAGAAAAATACTAAAATAAAGGATCCCATATTGAGTTCGTTTGTAATGGTAAAATCAGCAGGTCAGAAGATAGAATACTAACTGCAACGTCGCGGGGACCAAGATGATTGTGGTGTGACACTTTTGTTTGTTGGCGATGACATATATTTTCTCCAGTCCTCGAGCAGAATTGTAAGATCATGAATCTTATTGTCCAAACCAACACAACAATTTGCATGCATTGTGCACACAAGATTCAAATCTTTGCTAGGCTGACAAAATCCACCGAAATAGGCAGTGTCCAAAAACCTTATTTGTAGACCAATCTTCCTGATGAAAGGATCAAATTTTATCATATTGAGAACATCTTGGTCATGTTTGCCTGGATATTTATCTCTTGAGCCATACCAAAACTTGTAAAATTCGATGGTCTGCTTACTTGATTTTACGTAGGTAAATCCTCCATTGGGAGAGTTGTTCAAGTCAAACGAGTTGCCATAAAAGCGATCGCATGCAATCTGGAAATCAGCATCCGGATAAAAATGTGGAAATGGATCTCGAAACCACATTATATCATTATCCTGTAGAAAAGAGAGTCAACAAGAGTTTGTTGTTTAAGGTCAATTAGACAGAGTTTCATAAATCTATATTATTAATAAAAGGATAGGACTAAGTTTGTTGTTCACCTCTCAAATGTCCATAATAACATCTTTTTTATCTATACCCATAGCTCTCTATTTAATTTCATTCAATGGTCTTCACTAATGAAATGTAATTGTTTCGTAGACCATCAGGTCTAGAAAGAATAATGATAGTAAATTATGCAATTTGGTTTGTGTACAACATGGGGTGAGATTCGACAATTAATTATAACCAAATCTACATGGGTGGTAATAAGTGATAACCATTTTACCTGATCTTTACTAGACCATGTTTGCATCAAGGTTTGAATAGGGTGTCGTTTATTGTCTTCATACCATTTAAATTAGAGATTAATGTACTTATAAGGTAAAAAAGAAAAATATACCCTATATCAATTCATAACTTACATGTTAGGGATACTTCTGCAATTTGATATTAAAATCAATCAGGTCTCATTTAATATCATATATTATATGATATTTGTTTATACGTTTGTTATTAGGCAATACAGTAGCACTAAATTGGTACCGATGACAAAACCATTAAAACTAAACCAAATAACCATATGATAAGCATTTACGGAGTTGAAAATTTAGAGGGTACCGTAAAGATGAAGTTGTATCCGACTTCAAGAATGATGCGAAGAAAATCAATCCTTCTCCACATCATCTTTAAGTAGTCAGTGGACATGAAATGTGCTTCGCTTGAAAAGTCGATGCCTGGAGTATTGAGAGTATAACAATGGTCATGCAATGCTAAGCAACGAGCATATGCCTTTTGGTCCAAAGCAACAACTAGCAAATGATTCAAGAGCCCTTGAGTTTGATTCCCTATTCGGAAACTCTTAAGAAAGAGTTCAAATATTGAATTTGGCGCGGCCCAGGCTTCATTTAATGTAGTTATAATGACTGTTTTGTCTGTCATTGCTGCTTCTTTCAAGACTCCCACTAACGCAGGATCATCCTTGGCCTTAGAGTGTGAGAAAAGTTGGACAAGCAACAAAACAAGAAAAGAGATATACAGTAAGCGAGGTTTTTTCAAAGTTAGAATTCCCAAAAGAAAGGGAATTCTCTATGCTGATTAGCTTAGGTACCATACGGAAACATTTATTCTAAAGTAATCTTTTTAATTTTTTTTTTTTAAGTTTTGAAATATTTTTTAAGTAGCATTTATTTTTATGCATTCACATTTTATTTTTTTTCTATTATAAACTAAATAAATTCTTTTAACTTACTTTTATTTTTTATTTTATTTTTTTTTGGGGAGGGGAGGAGTATTTGAACTCTTGACTTCAACAAGACAAAACCTTTATAAGATAAAGAGTATCATTGGAACAAAGATCAATTGGTAAATTCTTTTAACTTACTAAATTCTTTTTCTTTTAAGCTTAATAACATTTATAATAGTAGGAGAAAACTATGGTATCAGGAAAAAATATATATATCGATAACCATATTACAATTACAAATTTTATAATTTTTTTTTTGTTAAAATTTTGGGAAGTCATTTACAATTTTTTGTGGCAACTTGGGATCGATTCTAAAATTGTTATGATCCATCTTAATTATAATAATTTTATTATCAATCTCATGTTTACCACAAAAATTGTTAATTGACTAAAAAAAATTATAACTTGAACATTAAAAGTTATAACATGATCCAAAAAGTGGTTTTTTTTTTTTTTTTTTTTTGTAAACAAAAAAAAAAAAAAAATTTCTACCCACAAAACTTGTAAAATTTGATTGTACCATAATCTTCTCCTACTATATATGTAGACATCTGTGAATGCAATTTTTTATTTACTGATTCAGATAGATAGTTTTTATTATATGTTAATATAAAAAATATTACCAATGTAGCTTATTATATTTCGTAATCCATAATATAATTAGTAGATTTAGAAGCAAATACGGCATCCTCTGATTGTGTAATTAATATTATTCCCTCAGATAATTAAACAAAAGTGTGCCAACCAGGAGGGCTAAGATCACACAAAAAATCAATGACAAAGTCAGAAAAAGACCCTTAATGATTTTATATACCTTCCTACTTTCTATTCTATTATGTACCCTGATAACAACTCAGATATATTCTAATGCATGCTGCAGGTGAAAAATCTTGCTTGTGACTTATGAGGCAAGGACCCTAAGAATAATCCACTTGTTTTCTCTCTATCTCTCTCTCTCTCTAAAGTTGACCATAATGTCGACTTAGTTGAATAGTATACGAGAGATCATAATAAGTATTTTTATGGCCGGCAATAATCTTTTATATCACATTGGTCTTGATTATCACCAACAAATTTTCTTTTTGATGTACAAGCTGTACATGGTAGACATTGAATTCTATTTTACCTCCCTATGTTTGCCCCTATTTCACTAATCTTTCCTCCTTTTTCTTCTAGTTTTGGTCTTAAGCTAATAATGCCCAACTAGTTCCCTCCGGCCATCCATTCTCCAACCAACCCACCCACCGTCAAAAAGTGAATATCTACCTATAAATGGTCAATGCTAGAAGAACAATGCTATAAAGATCTTATTTGAGAATTTTATTTGTGGATTTTATTTAAAGTTTTAATGATGTACAACTATTAGATTGATTGTGAACTTCATCTAACATTAGAACTCACAACTAATCTAATAGTTACATTTGAAGCCACATCATTATATCTTTAAATAAAGTCTCTAAATAAATTTAAATAGCATTTTTCTTACTAGAATATGAAAAATCAAAAAATTATGAAATAAAGTTATAAACAACTACAAAGTCGCCGAGGAGAGGGATGTCCTCTTGCCGGCAACTTTGACATGGATTCTAACCACTAACATTGTGCTAAACTAAATCGGTGTGCTAAACCAGAACATATAATTGCAGACCGCATCATCCCCATGTAACTACAGAAGCTGATGTATTCCACCCGAGTCGACAAGTTGAGAAAACCCAACATTACTCGTAAATTCAAGCTCTGTTATCTGTCAATGCCCGTTCCTCAATGCTGAAGCTACTTTATGGGTGGCGGAGCCTAGGCAGCCATTAGGGCAGAGATGGTTGTGGTTATGGACGACCATAGAGGTAGTGATTGGCTATGGTTTGGTTGCGACAGGGCAGGGAAGGAGGGTGGTGAAGCTCCTTATGGGTGGGTGGTGAGGTGGAGTTGTGTGGGGACCTAATACAATATAGCCACGGAATTAAAGGTTGGACTCTACCTAACAATTTAAGTTACAATTAATCCAATAAGTGCTACAAAACCAAACCGCGTATAGAATATGATTAACCCAAATTTGTTGTTTAGAATTCATCTCTAACATGGCCGCCGATTGATATTTTGTTTCAGAAATGCTATGCTGATCAAATTTAGAATTGAATTAAGAGTTTAAATAACATGACAAAATAGTATTTGAACTCTTTATTAAGGTCCAGATGACATGACACCAAATAAATAAGTTCAAATCAATTTCTACGTTATTTGAACTCTTAATTTAACCCCAAAAGTTGGTCATTATAACATTAATCATTTTGTTTCGACCATAAAATGTGGCTGACACCTAGATGACAAACGACAACTGGGGAGCTCTAAGACTCTAACTATAATGACAATTCTGTTCGTTACAAAGAGATCAAGAGAAAAGATGAGTTTCCAAGATGTATCAAACATCTGTCTCTCTGATTGTATTGCAAATTTTGAGTCCACAGTGAACCTCAAAAGGAAATATAACAGATCTGCCTGGTAAATCATGCACACTGTAATTTCCTGTCATGGAGAAATCTCTCTAATCCTAAAGTAAAAACATCTGTTATCACCCAAGTACAAGTATAACCCATAAAAGAAATGACAAGTAATTGACTTACCAGAGAAGATATGATTCCACGAGCAGAGCCTTGAGAAGAGGCTGATGGGTTGTACATGGAGTTGGGGAAGAATTGGAAAGAATAGACAGAGTGATAAAGAACCAGACATGCTAGAACAACCGCTAGGAATAGCAGGCTAATCCTTAAAACCAGATGAAAGAAGTGATTATTGTGGTTGTGGTGGTGGCCTCCCGATTCCAATGACTTCTCATCGTTTATTCTGCTGCTTGCACCAGCTGAATCCATCATGGGTGAATGGACCTTCTTGAGGCTGCTAATACCCTTCTCTTTCTGACCCCTTTTAGCTTGAAAAGTCAAGTTTTATTTTCATTCTTAATATCAAACGTCTGTTGTTGAACACTACGCATAATAGTAAACATATTCGAAACCCTTTTTAACTATAAATGTCAGGTTGTATAGGGTAGACCCTTTTAAGTTTTAATTTTTCTAAATGATACATTTCCCTGATATTTTATTACATTTTTTTTATACTCAAAATTCAATAGATACAAAATGACTAAAAACCATAATACATAATTTAAACTAACAAAGGAACGGTCCTCCCTCATAATATCTCTTTCTTAAGAAGCGGTTTGTTTTTATCAGATTAAAATAATCTTATTAGATAAATATTTAAATTTTGTTAACTTTAATTTGTTTTGAAATTATAAGTTATGACCCTAAGTTTCATGTCCATTTAATTACATTTATACAATAACAAATTAATCATATAACTTTTTAATAAATTACAAAATGACTAATATATTTAAATCATATCTAGGAATGCATGTAACATATCCGATGTATGGCAGAAAGTTATTACAATTTAGTTATGATTATGTGCTAATTGGTGGTAATGTACAAATTGGCATCGTGCAAGATCAACAGTCAAGTATATGAAAATGTGCAATTAATGAGCAGTAAATAGGCAATTAATGACAAAATAGTAAATAAAAGTAAACACGCATATTTATAGTGGTTCGGTCCGAATGACTTACTCCACTCTCAGGAATAGCAGCGATGGCGGGGGGGATGTTTATTGATGAATAAAAGTCACCGGAATAGTACACTTCAGGAGAATTACAATGCTTTGAGAGAGAGAAACTTAAAAATGTAGAGAGATGTAGAGAGGTATCTTTAGGTCTTAAGATCGTGAGGTGATGTCTTTTATTTGGAGAGGGTTAATATTATATAGGTATGGTGAGGCGGTGACATGAGGAAAACCATAGAGGCGACGCCCATATGAGGAAGGGAGAGCGTGGAATGAAGGAGAGCCAGGAGGGTCCCCATGGGCGGCGCCCAGTGCCTGGGTGGCACCCCCTTGGAGGTGCCAGGGGCTTGGGCGGCTCCTTTGGGCGCCGATGACTTGGATTCTTATTGATTTATTGAGCTTGATCCAATTGATTTTTGGCTTATCAATTGGTATAAAAAAAAAGTATAATAGGTAATAAAGTATAATAAGGTGGACATACTTAACTATATTCAATAAAATATTTTAAATTTATATATGTAATATTAATAAAAAAAATTGAGGGTGGGAATAGCTCCCCACCCACAACTTATATCGTTTTTCTTTTTTTTTTTTGGGTAATAGCAGCATTCCTTATTTTCAAGGCTAAAAGTAACATAAATGCCGACTAGAGGAGGAAAACCATTGCTTTTAGGATGTACTATATGACAGTCGAATTACATCCATGGGGAACGAGGAAAGAAGCCCTCTACGCTAGTGGTGAGACTAGATGTCAGCCAACCCTAAAGAGTAATAGAGAAGCGAGTTGTATTAAGACTTGACTTCAATTCATACATAATTACTCCATGATACATAATTAAGACTAATGTTATTAAGATGTAAAAATTTTCATATTTGATTAATATAATTATCTGTCAAATGACAAAGTACCAATAAAAAAGTTCAACAGTTTAATATGTCAATAAATTAAATTAAAATTTTAAGTTCTAATAACATTACTCCTAACTTAAATGATCATTGAGGTAGTTAACCCGTTTATAACACGAAAGCAAAATAACATTACTTTCATAGAAGCCGAAAATATAGTGTCAGGGAGAGATAGGGAGACGAATGGTTGAGTTGAATGATGGTGACAAAATATTGAAGACTTTTTCATGAAGACTTTTCCAAGACGTACCCAATAATGTTGCTTCTAGAATGGCGACTGAGATTTGCAATTTTTTAAGTTTGTACGCATTCTTTTATTTATTTATTTGTTGAGAAGTTTGTATGCATTCAACGAAATTATTAAAAACTTTCCATTTCAGTTAATATTTTTCCTTTTTTTTTTCATTGAACTAGTCAAAGTATTTCTTAAGCAACTGTTCTTGAAATTTGATTTCCTGCAATATATTTTTCTTTCTAATATATGACAATCATTTGCCATCAATTAGTTAGATACCCACTTATACATTAAGTTTCACTTGCAACATTGTTTTTTCTTTTCAAATGTTTGCTTTTGTGTTGGTTTGTGCCAAATGGTCTCGCTTGTTCGAGCACATGTAATGCAATGGTTGATTGTTGTGATTCTTAGAATTATTATAAGTATTTTTGGTTTCTTGATTGGATAAATAGAATTGTCGGTCATAATAAATGAATGTCTGATTTAACTGGTATTATTGTTATTCGTTCATTAATGTCGGAAGATAATTAAGTATATGATTACTGACCAATAAGCAATACTCTATTGAATAGAGATTCCAAATACCCCCTCTCCGTGAATGTGTATTGCAAATAGCGTGGGCCTGAAAGCATTGGCAGGCTTGAGTCAATCTCAACGTTTCTCTCTCTAAGTTAACTTGATCTTTGGGCAATTCAGTCTCTGCCCAAGACTCAGTGCCAGATCATGAAAAAGTATTGGCAAATGATGTCAATATGACAGCTACTTATTGTCGGTTTTCACATCAGGTCAACTCAAGGTTATATTAAATCATAGAAATTCAAATAATGTCCAGTGTTGGAAAAGCATTTGGTTTTTGTTTTTCCTTTAATAATATATGTGGACAAGGGCGGATTCACATAGGTAGGAGGGTGAGAATTTGCCCCCCCTTATTTTTCAATCTTTTTATTTATATATTATTAAGGGATGATAGATTATTTATTTTAATACATTTGTCCCCTTAATTTTTAAAAATATTTATAACGGTCATAACTTATTTTTAATTTTTTGCAAGTTAGTGACCCATTGTCTATCCCCCCAAAAAAAAAAAATCAATGTTTTAGTTTCTGAAGTAAATCAACAAAATAAATGATGATTTTAACTAGTTTTCGCAATATAAAATGAATAATGAAGAATTTTTAAAAATTTAGTTTATCATCAATACATAATAGATGAATTTCGAGATTTGAAATAACATCGTATTCTACTTTTATATATAATTGAATTAAAATGTAATATCATAAGTTATTTTATGGTTTGTTGTTCATATTTTCTTTATTTTATGGTTTTTTGTCCATATATTTCTTTAATTTAAATAGACACTAGTTTTACTGTTTTAATAGTAATCTAATGTTGAATCCTAAATTTTTTTTTTATGCTTGGAATGTTTTGTATAAACTGGTGAATTTTTTTTCCTGTAATAGTTTACCCCCTCTAATGGGAAATCCTATCTCCGCCCCTATATGTGGAATACTTAACTAAACTCGATAATATAATAGACCTAGACATAGACAATGTAGGAGTGGGGGGGAGGAGGGGGGGGGGGAATCTATATCTATTCGAATAAAGAGATTTATTTGGAATGAGTGTCCGGGATCGTCTTTGACATGCAAAACAAACAAACTGTCGCAGACCAGTGGAGTGCCGACGGGAGGCACTCCGATGCCTAAGTTAGTAATGAAACGAGAAAGTGTATTCAATTCATAAGAGAAAGTGTGCGTACCTTAAATTTAAACTTTATAACTATTTATAGGAAGTTTGTCCTCGATTATATAGGACTGCAATCCTCATTGGAATATGGTGGCACACCTAAATTCTAATTAATCCTTCCTTAATTTGTGTTTGAAACTTACAGGGTTTCTTTTCTCATTAGTTGATTGTGTTAATTATGTGTTTCTATGATTTAGGCAATTTCCTCATTGGTATCTAGCACTGCCTCTAATTTTTTGGGATAGCCTAGCTATCTGCTCAGTCTAGTCTTATCTTTTGCTTGGTCATAGTAAAGTCATTTCAAGTAACTCTTTTCAAGACGTGCAACTTGCCACGTGTGTAACTCTAATTGTCAGATGATGATCAAAATTTATTGACCCCTTCACTTGCCCATAGAGAATATTTTTCATGTGGCACACTGGGAGGCATTCTCTGTTTACAGTCCTTTCATTAATTGCCTTGTATCGTTCCTTATGAAAAAGCGATTTTTTGTGTCCCTTTCCCCTAGCACAGAGGTCCTATCTCAATGAAGGGCTCGGGCATTCAATACTTAGAAAATTTTCAATCATGGCCCCCTTCCCTATCCAAGAGGACCAGCCTCATTGAAGGATTCAACCATCAGTTCTTGATCACTTTATTGTGACCCTTGCACCGATCAACCAATCTAAATCAATATTCAAACATTTCCCGCTTGGCTTACACTATTGTGCCTAGTCTTGGGCTTAAGCTAGATCGGATGGCTACACCTGAGCTAGGTCTTGACTTGATCTTAATCATACACTCAAGTATAAGTTGTCAAGTTGTAATATTATTCAATTAAGTTCAAGGTCGAACCCACAAAGAGCTATCTGCTGGAACTCAAAATAGAAAAAGGAAAGATTTTCGTGTGCGTAGTGTGCATTACAACATCTTCGGATGTGAGCTTAGAGCTGATAAGCAAATACTTAAACTAAAATTTTGATTATAACAATTGGAAAAGACTACTCTTTAGTTCAGAGATTCAACATGTACTTTATTGCTTGATTATGAAAATGCCACTTTACAACAATTAACCCCATTTTATTGGAAAGCTAACTAGTAGGTTTGATGTATAACTGAACCATATCACATTAACTGATTAGGTTAGCCAAAAAGTCTATGCACCATACAACAACCAAATAACCCTTGTAAACCCGAAGGTGAATCATTCAAAAGGTTTACTTTAGCTATTCGATCGACATGTCGATGATTCTTTGAAGGCAGAGTTCTGATTTATGCATTGAATCAAAAGCATTGGTTATGACAAGATTCAACCAGCCTATAACCAATCTCTCAATTATTACGTAAATCCCAACTATGTGCATCATTGTATCATGCATGAAGTAAACAATAACATATAGATGAACTAGTATATAACATTAAGTTTAGTACGGTACTCGTAACCATGACCATATAGTAATACGACACTGGATG